CCTTCCTCTCTCTCTCTCTCTCTCTCTCCACCTCTCTTCCCAACAAGCTTATACATATTTAGACTGATTTTTCGCCTTGCCAGAAAGCTCCTTTGTACAAATAATTATAATAAAATAATTATAAGTGGGTGGTTTTTTTAAAAGAGTACGTTTTTTTAATGTCGACGCTGAAATGACGTGCTGTATTGCAAAGGCGGAATTGGTGTGCGGAGCGAAATAGCGGTGCCTAGTAAAGGCTGTGGTGCCGAATCACTAGGGGAGGAGGTTTGGACAACTCCAATTTCGTTCAATCACTCACCATGTCAGACCGACCATTGAGCTGACACTTCTAACTGTCAATGACCACAGCACCTTCATCATCTTCGTGCCATCAACATTGTCCTGTGTCTGCAGTCCCCAACTCCGACGGTGGACAACTCCTTCGACACCGACTTGACTAAGCGCGGTGCAAAAGAACTCAATTCCTTTTGAGACCATTGTACGCCTAACTTTTCCATCCTCTTTTACCCCAAGGCGGTGACTTGACAAAACCACAAGGTTGGTCGACTTGTCGTCCAGAATTTGCCGCGTGAGGTATGGTGACACAGTGGCTTGATCATTTACCCGGGTCGCAGAGGAAAGTCGGTCGTTACAGACCCAAAAAGGTATGCTCTTTTCAAAGCTATGTCGCTCAAATTCTACAAAAATTAGTCATTCTCAGACTAGGTCTATCCAATCTGAGTACAACCATACTTTCATGAGCTTATTAGTCACCAATGTCACATATTTGTGACGCGTGGGACCAGATACGAAAACCGAATGGTTATGCATTTATGTGACGTATTCCAAATATATTTTCACTCTCTACATCGGCTTTCATTCATATTTGTGAATTAAACCTCTTTCTTATGTTTGAATCAAATTTTCGGACAAAAATTTGCATTTATAACCAATAAAACGTATTAAAATCTTAAGGTTTAAATGAATTTTTATCGAAATTAGACGAGTATCCAAAGTAAGGAAGGCGGTGGGTTTAACAGAATATCTGTTTAAAATAATGATGACGATAGGGTTGAAGATTAAATCGGTTGAAAGGCTTCCACTAAACCACAATGTGTAAAGGCGCATCTTCACGGGTAGGCGCCTTAAAAAGGAAGGAGATTCACGCACACACACTAAAATCCAAAATTCAAATTAAAAGAATACGCTCTCCTCGCCCTGAACTCCTCCATTCACTCATTCATCCAGAAATGACAGTCTGCGAACTAATCGCGTCTTGCCGTAGAGGTGAAAGATGTCCTTGAGTGGTTTGAATCGGAGCCACTTTTCACTCACTTCCTCCTCGCCTTCTTTCTTCGCATTCTCATCCGTCTCCAACTTCTCACCACCTTCAGATACTGTTTTTTTTAAAGTTCCGAACAACCTCCCTCTCCATCCACTCCCCGGGACTAGCAACTTCGTGGAGGTTTGGGAGAATCGGTTATCCCCAGGAATACTGGATCCGGTTGGGAGTTCTGACTCCAGCGGTGTGGTTTCATTGATCTGACAGTCTCCAGTGAGGTCGCAATCTGCGAATCGACGAATTAAACCGGGTGGGGAGGTGAGAAGAGGAGCTGTGTGCTTTTGATCTGTCGTAGACTTCGAATCAAGGTGGGAGTGGCGGAAATGATGTTGGTGGTAGTGGTGGTGGTCACGATGGCGGTGTTGACTCAGTCCACTCTCCGTGACCTTGGACTTTGCACTGCTGTCACCATAGCAGTCCTCCCGCAACTGAAGGTCATTCATTTTCTCTTCGCTCAGTGGCATAATTCTTCCTGCGTGTGTGTCTGGGACTGCGTGATTCTAGTGGGACCGGAAGATCAATGTCTGTGACCTTGACACCACGTGGTGATATAGGGGACGGGTGGTTGTCCCCTTTTAATGGATAATTTTGCCGTTCAAAAATTAGGTTGCAAATTCTGCAAGAGGTGATCCTGCTTTACCACGAGCAGGAAAAATAGATAGATTAGTTTTTCTTGTTAATGGAGCTAGTAGTTCTAACGGAGGGACAGTGCGGTCTCTCAAAAATCTGGGGAAGCTATTCACTTTTTAAATCATTTGCGTGGCTATCACAAACCCTCTTAGAAAACAGTAACACCTTAAGAATGCATATTTTAATAAGAAGTGGGGTTGTTTTTTACAATGAGCGAGTGTTTTTACAGACTCTACTAAATTTGCGGGGCGCTGTCTCTCCACTTTGCTGTTTTCCCGTTTCAAGGTTAACAATAGGGTCAAGGACTCTTTCGAAAACCGTTCTTTATACTAGTCCGTTAGAATAGAAGTGTCCATGAACAAAACAAAAACTATTCAAGCTTTGTTTCTACACTACAAAACCCAACCAGGGTAAAACTAAAGACAAAGTCAGGGACAAAGAAATAAGTGCCTTTGAATTTTTGATATTTTCAGTCTCTCTCTGCGTGTTTGAATTTCCTGTCTGCTTTCAACTCACTTGCAGTGGCCAGTCACTCTCCCAACTCGTTTCTTCATCCTCCTCATCGTCCCCCTCTTCCTCACTTTTCGATCCGTCCTCCAGCTCCTCCTTTCTTTACTTTTCCACCAGCGAAGAGAGCCCAAAGGAGGAGAAATCGCTACTTGTCGACAATCGATTGGTCCACAACTCCAATTCCACCATCTCCTAACCCCATTCAGCATCCCCGATCGTCCTCCTCGGTATCGTGGCATCTCGTCTGCCTAGCAATGACCAACAGTGCTTGAGACAGCCAAAGAGCCTATTAAGAGCCTGATATTCGAGTTGTTTCAATGCCCTCGCCATTCCAACTATCTCGGAGAGCGCTGGTTGAGGAGCCCGGTTTTCTCATCCGTGTGGCCACAGTTGGCGCGAGGAGAGTCCGGAGGCAACACAGGCAACGATGCAGACCAATTTTGCAGGAATTGAGAGCGCGGATGCGTGGAGGTAACTGATGCTATTGCTGCTACTGTCTGCCAGGAGGAGTTGGAGGTGTTCAAGGCTGCTGCCCGCATTCAATTTGAGTATTTTGTGGCGAAAGAGTGAACCAAGACGGTGACTGTTTTACTCATCTTAATGATCCCACTGCTTTCAGGGGCTTGAATCAGAAAGTACCTTTGAACAATAACCTACTCTTGTGTTTTATTACTAATTTTCCCAGTGTCTTACCATTCGAGACCCCACTCTACTAGTCTTTCAGCTCTTCTTTACCCTGACGGTAAAACTGCTTTCCGATTGATACGTCTTACACTGCCTTTGGGAATAGCTCCGTTACACAGTTGACGCAGAAGTTGCTTGAGTTCAAAATAAAGTTTTAAAGATCATTGGGCATTCAAATTCTCTTAAGGACTTTAAAAGGCCCAGTTATAACGATGCCGCTTTGTTCTGCGGTAACGGCAACAAAGGAATGCGGGCAAGGGCGGCCCCTCGAATCAAAGTCGAAAAAGCTGTTGTTATTGGTGGGAAAGAAAATTTAAGTTGTCTTTTGGAAAGGCTTTTACTTCAGTCTTAAGTGAAAGAATAAAACTTGACAGCAAGTTTTTTTTTCAAATCCAATGCAATTATACATTCATGAATTTCAGAACAGAATTTCACAAATCAAGTTGACAAAAAGATCCAAACATATTCTTGGAAAGGTTCTATGGTGGGGAAAGTGCAGAAGAGTGCTGCTTTTGACTGTATGTAGGCAAGTTTTTCATTTCCTATGCGTATTTGATCTTGTCCACGGCCTCATTGCCATGGCTGTAATCTCCCGCGGGGTGTGGAGACCTCAATGAAAGGCTCAGACACAGGCTTTCTCCGTCTTTGACGAATTTACCGTCACGGACCTCCGTCTACGCCACCTACGCTACTATTATCGAGTCCGAGCTGGACGTTTGTCTCATTGTCTTCAGGGATAGCTAGGAGAATGGAAAAGGGGGAACTGGGAGGGTCATAACATCTAGTGGCGCGGTTTATGGAATGCGCCTTCATTTTTGTCAACTGGAAGGTTTTGATATGACCTTTGAAAAAGCATTTCGATAGTTCAAATATATTTACTAGTCTGGCAAATAAAAAGAAAGGCTTGAAAATTTCTTAAAAGTTGACCCCTAGTTCTGTGACACTTGCGGGACTTCTAAAGGGGCGTTTTTCAAATTCAATTGGTGGTCATGTTTTGAGTGGTCTCTCACCTTCATCTTTTATCAAACATATTAGCTCTGAATGTAAACAATTTTTTCCCACCAACGGATTAAAAGACAGTACAGGGGCAGGTTTGGAGGTCTTTTAAAGCGATTTCATCATGTGATTCAGTGGTTCGATGTGAGTAAAGTCTTTCAAAAACGTCTGAGGTTAATGGTTGAGATGCATGTGAATTTAAAATAGGGGTCGCCTGACATTTGAAAGATGTTGCATTAGGGCGCTCTTCTCAAAAGAACCTCGTAGAAATTACCTGTATTGGATGCAAACAGGGAAGGGTTCAGGGTGGAGCAAGAAGGTGATGGGAAGACCTCCTAGATTAATGCAGGGAATTTCTAGTAAAATCTCCCCATTTCGATGGTCGATCAATTGTAAATGGAGTTCTGAATTGAATGCCATTGTTTTTCTGGACCGCCGTTTTAAATGGTGGTTGAACACACGAGTGACACGACGATTTGTGTTGACGTTCAGGCAGCGAATGCTTTGTCAGCTGAAAGTGAGGCACAGACCACGTGGAAGGCAGTTCTGAGCTTAACTAAGTATAAGGCGAACGATGCTGAATAGGAGGCCTGTTGTGGATAAGGTGATTGCTTTGTATAGTGAGGTTCAAGCAGCGTTTAACCGTTTGATTCAAGTGGACAAGCTAGATGGGTGTGTGGTTTGGACGAACACCAGAAGGGGAGGAGGCGCACTCTCGCTTAACTTATCAACACAGCAGTTGGACGGGGAACTAATCTCTCAACTAACTAGGCATCCACATAAATTGAACAGAAAGAAGTACGTCCAGGGAATTAAAACCGGGACGGAGGTGAGCGTACCTCCTTCTCAAATTAGTCGTAGCTTGACGCCAACGGTGAGGCGCTAACGACATACTGGCGCTGGTTTGACTTCAGGCTCTCCGAGTGAGTCCAGTGATCTTGATCCCTGATGACAGCACCCTCGGAGGCTATCACTTTTTTCGCTTTCAAAGTGCAGCGTCAAATTGTACGGATTCCTCTCAACATCCACACGTTTTGGCGCAATATTTGGAGAAGAATGGAAGAACTCATAAGGCAACTGCAGACTCAGTATGGACAGCGTCCTCATCTCTCCTATGCCTTGTTGATCCACCCAGTTAAGACGCTGAGAAACTCGTAGAAGGTTTTCATCCCCTTCCTCGACGCCTTTCCTTCCACGGAGATGTGGAAGTTCATCGCCTTCTTCAATCTGAGGTAGACAAAAGCTTCGTGCTTCTGTTGAGTCCTCTTCTTGGCCCAACTTGACATTTCGATACACTCTATGTGTATTACCAACCTCTATAATGTCAAAATCTTTCAAAATCAGGCGACTATGCGAGAATTTTTTGCCGTGCCGCCAGTTACAGCTGAGAGCATTCTGCTCAATGGAAAATGACACAACCGGAAGGAATTCAGTGAAAGTTTCTTTGGACCTGTTTAGGAAGAGCGATTCAGTAGAAGGGGGAAGGTGACATTTTATGTTCCTACAAGACGACAAAAGGCCTCAAACTTCATTCCACAAAATTTGACAGTTGACAAAACAAAGCAGAGACAGCGTCTTATCCTTTGTAGTGCCCTGGGTCATATTTTCTTGGCGTTAGGCTTATGAATCGGCCAAATTTATGGTTTGCTATTTGTCCATTTATCTGTAAAGCCATCAGGAGAATGAAAAATCTCAAGCGCCACTTCTCAAATGACTCGAGTTTGCACACAGACCTCTGGCACTCCTTCCTATGCCACACTGCCATCGCTTTCAACTCCCTTGACGGCTGCGATGGCGCTCCACTTATAATCAACAGTCCGTTGTCGTTGATGAGCCAGCAGCACTTTGGTGGAAGTTGTCACCACTGATGAGCGATTTTACGTCAATCACGGGTGTCCACAGCCATCACCACTTTCCGGACGGCGTAAAGAGGCGAGGCGATGCGGATCGCAGTCGAACAGGACGTCGGATACAGACAGACGGCGACATTGGTGGTGTAAGTGACAGGGATGGCGAGGAAGGTGGTTGGATGGAGAGAAGCGGGGAGGAAGAGCGAGAAGTTAAGCGAGTGGGACCAAGAAAGAGGCGGCTCGATGGGATCTGAAAAAAAGGGGCAGAAGTTCTACAGTTGGCGTAGTCACAACTGAAAATATTGCTACTTGATCAAACGACGTCAAAATGGAAAGAAGATTTCAAAGACTGAAAAGTTGGAATCAAGGCTATTACCGATAGCTTCGAGATTTCGTCGTCAAAATAAACATGACATTAGACACGTTTTTCCATACTAATACATAATTTTTACCAAATTTCTAGCAAGTACGTAAGTTACAAGAACAGTATGTGCTTTTCATAATTTAACACATTTTCACCAGGTAATATCAGCCAGTTTTTCTTCCTTTTTTATGACCGATACACGTAAGCATTGTGTATTTCTCACTCCACCTTTTAAACTTGATTGTAAAGGCCATAATTCAAATGATTTTCGCAATTTTATGATTTTATTAATAAAAAATGCATCTCTTCTGGCATTCAACGTTTTCATTGGCTGATAATTGATGGAGGGAGGGAGACGCGAACCTCGCTGGTAAATCCAATCAAGAATGAGGAACACTGATGCAATTGTCTGACCTTTTGTTTAACTGGCGGCTTAGCCTCGCGGGCATTTTAATTCACTAGGCGGCATGGTCTTCGAGGCATGCCAGCAGCCTGCTTGCTCCTTTCTACTCTTGCAAGTGGTATGTTCTTCTGCACTGCTTTGGCGCAGGGAAGATTGGGAGCCCCGTGTTTACATGCACATGGTGATAATAGGCTCCACTCAATTCTTGCTTGGAAAAGGCTATTTCTAAAAATTCAATTCAGTACTTTTGCGCTTACCCAAGAAATTGAGTGAACTGGTTAGAAATTTCTCATATTCCTTAAATTTTAAAGCAATAGGTGTCTTATGCAGAGGCGGTCTTGTTGCTAGTAAATTGTACCAAGCAGAGCTGTAGCACGGCAAGTGTTTGTTTAACTCTTGGTATTGGTGGCAGGCTACTTGGAAGCCTCGGCGCTGACGTCCGCCAGTTGGCCTGGCTTCTAGGCCATGACAGTAGCCTCATGCTCCCCACTGCACCTCAAAAATACATTTTTTTGAGTATTGTGCCTTCTATCGTCTTCAAGGAAGTCTCTGGGCGCTGCAGAGCACATCTTTTAAGCTCTTTTTCAAAATTAAGGGCGTTGTTTTAAATCTGTTTTCCTTAATATTTTACAAGGACACAAATTAGGCTCTTCTCAAGTTTAGATTATGATCGCCCATTTGTAACGTTCCACAACCGCCTTGCTTTACCTTGCAAATCAAAAACAGGGCCCACACGAAAACTCACGAAAGTAATCCTCTGGTTACAAACTAAAAAGTGAAACCAAGTAGGGAAGAGGAACTTTTGCATTTGGTCCACTCGCCTGCCTCGAGGGACATAAGAGACTGTGAGACAATAGTGTTAAAGATACTTTAGAAGAGGTGAAATCTTAAAAGTACGCATCATACCTTGAAAGTCACTGCACTTGATGCTTATAAAACTTTACCGTCCAGCAATGCTACTCAATAGCTGCGTATTTGGGATTTCAGTAGTGCGTGATTCGCACCAGGTGGAGATGGAGTTGCAAACCCCTGTGTACGATTGCAATATGTGGCACAAATTATTCATCTTTTTTATCTGCAAAATAATTTTGCTTTTTTGGTAGAAAATTGAAGTATTACTTTAATGATCTTACTGAAATCAAGAGGAGGCGCTGTTGTGTCACGTATCCTTGAGTACTCGTTAACAAAAATTATGACCTCTTCGGGCATGTTTTTAGACAACTTAGAAATAACACTACCTTTCTCATGAATAGGCCCTAGGCCAACAGACATCCCAGTAACATAAATTGCGTGAAGTCGACATTGCTCAATTTACAGGGGTAACTTAAACAGAAGTAAATTTATCACTGGAGCCCAAGTGGCCAAGAAAACAGACCTTCTCAAAATTGAAACTGTCGTCAGTAGTTTTTGTTTTTCAAATGCTTTCTTTTAAAAACTCTCCGATGCGTTTTCCATGGAGCCTCCCCTGCAACGTCGCGGTGGCTTCCGGCTTCAAAAGTCCCATCACTTTGTTGAATTGGCCAAAATTACTTGACATTTAATTTCAAGCTAAACTTTAAGTTTATTTTTCACTCCTAATGTATTTAATGACTTCTGTGTTACTTTGGATTGCATTGGTTGATCTGCACTAATTTCTTCACCAAGATCCATTAAAAATGAAGTGTTTGAGGAGATTTGGAATATGCGATATTTCGTCAAGAATACCATTCATGTTTTTTTCACTTTTCTTGTGTATGTTTCTTCCAGAAATTTCAGAAATCTTTTAAGTCTAATCAGTCTTAAAGAAAATGCTTAACTCTGCGATCTCACAGCCCTGAGATATTGGTGTGAATTGCAGATGGTCGGTCACCTTACCCTGACGTGTCCAAAACTGTGGCGTGTTGTAACTCCACTGCAGTATTTGCAAGAAATGACAACGGGTTTTGAGATCTCATGGTATTTCTGCAGTTCGTCAGCATTTACTTGGGCCTCTGCTCCCCAATTTGGGCACTGCAGTTTCCTTTTTCTACGCCGCCTTTCAACCGCTTCCACGCGTACCGCAGAAACCAAGTTGAAAAGAGTTCTCAGTCCATTCAACTTACAAAATTTTTAAGTAGTTTAAAAGCTATTGAACATATTCCTGAAACAGTTTATCACTTTTTCTCAAATGGTAACATTCAGTAAAGAACCACTTCCAGCTATGACTGAGCGCGCCTTGGCTGTGCACCGTGACTTAGGTGAAATTTACTTTTAGGCTTAGCTGCCAGTCCTTAAAGTTCTCATCTCTTTCCTACCATTTTGAATTGCGTCGGTGAACCGGCACCAACTTTCACACCAGAAGTCGGATCGGAAAGATCAAGGACATTTTGAGAGCCCTGCCTATCACAGCCTCGGAGACGACGTTCATCTCACCCTCCACACTCTCACATTCTCCAGAGACTGATGTGGATTTCAAACGGCAATGTCACGTTGCCTGAGCGAGCTCAAAACTGCGGCCTGTTGCATTTCCACGTTGGTATTTGGTGGTTTGCCACCATTTCCTCCTTTTTCTACCCTCCATGTCAGACACTACCGTTCCCCTTTTCCATGAAACGCTGCGGCTGCTTGGACGTGTACCGCTGGGACTAAGTTTGACCAATTCTGGGCACAATAATCACCTCAATTCACGCTACTTAGAAAATTGTAAAGAAACCCAAAAGCCACGAAACAAATTCTTAAAGCAGTGGTATTCAATTAATTTAAGGACCTCTTCCAACGGTGGCTGAGCTAGACGAGGCATTCCATTCGATTGAGGAAACAGCATTTCAGTGAGTGAAGAAATGAAGATGCTTAAAATTTTAAACGGCAAAAGGCTTTGTTTTTGACCCCACTAAATGATTGCCTATGATGGAGCATAAATATATGGAAGATGGAAACTTACTCCGCACTGTTTGACTCTGTCAAGCCTTCGAAAACAGCAAATGTAGACGAACTGGGACAAAAAAGCTTTTCAACTTGAGAATGAGGCTGCAAAGTGCAAACAAATTTATTTCTTTCCTTTATTAATGTCATATTAAAGAAATATGCACGCAATTCCTCTTTGCCACCGTTTCCATTCGACAGAGGCAGGCGAGAGAGTAAAAAATTGAAATGCTTGCCTTCATTGAAGTGTAGTTAGTCTTTAATTGAAAGGAAACGCCTACGAGGTTTCACAGCTTTCTGGTTTGAGTAAAGAAAGTCAACTCGTGAAAGTCAAATGTTACTATGCTTCCACGCATTTATGCGCCGATGTATATCAAGATATTTTAAATAAAAGTTTCGAAATAATAGTGCTGTGTGAAGCTACTTATATCCTTAAATACACCACTATGCTATAGCGAAGGTTGATCGGAAGGGTTGATGTTCCTTGGACTGACAACTCACTCATCAACAATGTAGGCACCTCGCTGAGCAGCTTCCACGTCGCATGAGGATCCCGTCTCAGATCCACCTCTCCATCCTTCGCCTCCACCTCCTCCTCCTTGTCACCATCGATGGCATCTCTACTTCGGCGAGACTTATTGTGAACTTTCCAAGTCCTCCATCCCATTGGCCTTAACCTATCGGGGCACTTTAAAATGTCTCCTGCTCCTGCAAGCGCGATGGTTTTTCCCCATTGTCGCTGGAAAGTGGTGGACACAGCGCGGAAGGCGGACGAACAGGTGACTCGGGCCCAATTACTGCGGCCATGAGTCTCCTTGCCTGATCCAACTTGAGGGTGATTTCCTCTATTCAAGCCCCAATGAAGCCTCGTCTGAATTAAATATCCTGCTCATTCGTTTTAGTACCCTTATCCCGCCGTCAAATTCTGCTTTTTCCTTTGAACAAGAGTAAATGGTGAGCAGTGAAAGAAAGTGTTTTTTTTTTCAAACCGACAGAGACTTTACGTTCTCTTTGTTTGACCACGACTGGATTGAACATCCACAGGCAACCGCCTTGAAATAGGCTTTTCCGGAAAGCGAAATAACGCACGATTCGGGCGCACTGACAGTAGAGCTCCGCAAACTTCTCAGGAGCGCAGGTCTTGCGATGCGCAAATGCAGCTTTGTCCACCATGAGGGAAAAATTTCATCTATTGTACCTCAACCTGGAAGCACACAGCCTTGATGATGACGAGGCATAGGCGAATACACATTCGGAATTACAAAATACACTATTTAACCTGGCAAAGCACACCAGGCTCTTTTTACTTGCCTCAGTAGCAAAATAGGCACCAGTGAATTCTGCTTTGTGTTGTTAACTTTGGTATTTCACTGACAAATTTAAGCAAACTGGAATGCTTTGCGGGGGACTTCCGTGACGCCACTGTTGCTCATCAAAATTGGGGGTAGCGGGGAAGAATTACCTGGCAAAAATACTTTTTAGGACTCCAAAGCGATAAACGAGAGATGAAAAAAAAGCAGGTGATTTTCTAATCTTGTAATGTATCCCTCACTGGGTAAAAAACTCGTTATTTATTAAATGCTCGGTGTTAAATTCCGTTGGGAGGATGTTGAATTCTCATGATGGGAAGTAGCAACTCCTCATTTTTGCCTTTTTCATGCTTCGTCTTTGCTTTTAATTCTTCTAAATCAGTCTGAGCAGTGTTCCTATTAATAAATGCATAAATGTAAAGGATTGACGAAGCTGAATTAAAATCGACAGGAGACCCGGAAATAACTGCCAATGTAAGAGAATATTTGAGTTATTTGAGGAACACATGAGAATGTGATGTTTAATACTGTTTGCTATGAGTATCTAATAGAGAGGAGGAGGTACATAATTTGCATAAAAAGCCGTTTCAAACACGTTGGATTTTACATAAAACAAATTATTACACGGAAAACCTCGAATAATTTTACTTAGACATTGCCCTTGTTTTCTTACAAGACAAATCTTTTACTCATCCGTTCCTACCACTCCGTAGATTTCCCGCACAATCACGTCATTATTTCAGTCAGTTAAGAAGCTAAGTTTCAGTTTATTCCCCATTTTTAAAGTAACATGAGCGATTCATCTTGCCGCTACAAAATCTTGCTTACCTACTTTAAGGCATTCCATTATGGCCATTATGTCTGAAGTTCACTTTTCCAGGCATGTCATGGCACCTTAAAATAAAAAAATCCTTTCTTTTCAAAGGTTAAGGCCTCAATCATCTTCATACCTTGCAGGTAGTATGAGAGAACTTTCGCGTGGGTCCAACTACTTATAAAGTGTTAGTAGCAACACATTTAGTCCCCCATAAATAAAAATGCCTCGATGCAAAATAAAAATGAAAAATCTTCCAAAACGTTTTACTTTGCCTTAGCATGCCGGTGCAAAAGCTCTTTTTCTGGTAAAGACAAGAAAACGAATTCCAGCCATAACAAAACGCCTGTGATTTACTTGATGCCGTGGTAACAACTCAAAACAATGGCAGAACGCCACTGACTTACGTCTTCTGGCCTTTTTGACATAGATACTCCAAAAAAACTAAAACCTTCGGGCATCACTCTGAGTGAAACAAAAATACTAGCTTCGGATATTCAGTGATCAGAACACTTAAAATAAGATGCAGCTGCATTTTCTTCCACATAACGAACAGTCTGTACTATGGGCCAACTGAGTTTTCGTTGTGAACAACAAGGCGGTCGCAGGTGACGAATGATGCCCATGGACAGACTCCATGTTTTGCTTCATCATGGCAATGCATGGGGCAGTACTAGCATCTGCTTGGAGGAGCTCGTGCCTTCTCCAAGCGCAGCATAAGGTAACGCCACAACAAATTTTTCTCAATTTAGGAAACCGATAATGACGGAATTTGACAAGCTAGTGTTATAAATTACATGACAATGCCAGCCCATGTCATAAGAGTAAATACGCTTTTCATTGCTTGCTGTTTTGGATTGACCTAACCACTGATCAAACAAACAATTTCTTTTGCCGTCACTGGTCGGTCGTCATTTGGTTGAACGGTGGACGGAGTGAAGAGCATCGGGTCACCGCTGCATGGAAATGTGCTCGTACTCTACTTAATTTCGCTGTAAGTAGTGCGATCGCATTGTGCCATAATGACTGTATAAAGTTAAAGTCGAGTAAATCGTTCCTGCATCTCTAATCATGTACCAAGCAAATTCCGGTTTTTAGATTATCTCAAATTATTTGCATTCATGGTGAAGTACGCATTACTTATTAAATAAATTCATGCGTCTGCAAATGTGGCTCTTCATTTACTTACCTTTAAGCACTTAAAGTTGCTGCACACGTGCGTTCTGTGCCGATCTCAGGTGTTTCATTAAAAAATTGTTTTGACGTTAATCTCCATAACATCAACAGAACCATCAACAAGAATCCCATGCCGATAGAAGTTTGTGTATTAGACCAGATAATGGACTACGCCTTGTGAAAATATGGTACCACGAAACACAAATATAAACACTGATTAACGTAGTTTAGCAACTAAAAATTTAATTTTATTTGAAATTTTATTTATTGTATTTCAGTAAATATCTTATTACCGTTTCGGCACTTCCGAAGTGATCTCATATTATTTGACTGCCCGGCAGGCCGGTGTGTTTGCAAATTTGTAAAAAGGGTCGTGACACTCGCCCATGACTTGGAATATGTCTAGATCTTGGCTTCTAGACACTAAAGTCAATTACTAACCTACTTAACATCCATCAGCGTTGAGGTTTTCGATTTTTTGGCTCCTTGGAGTAGCAACTCTTCGAAAATTATCACAATTCATATGATATATTCTATGGAATTCGGTAAATCATTTAGCTTAAAAATTGGCCTGACATTAGTGAATTTGCAGCAGCATTGTCATTACTACTGAGTGCCCATTTCAGTAGCAAATTCTAGATTACCTCGATACTATTTCCACAGCTTGCACAACAATTAAATACCTCCAAAGCAATTTCATTTTAATAGCTGCTCACAAAATAAATTCGTTTCGCCACTATTTTGCCACTGATCATTCTGCAATATTTAATCTACTTTTCCCGCTTTAAATGCGTCACTTGCATCCTATTGTTCATACGACTAGTATATTTTAAGGCAAAAATTAAAGTCATTTATGTACGCAGTGTAAATAAGAGAAAGTGTGATTTCACGTATAAATAGGCAAAGGTACCGATTCACCACGCGGCATTTCCTGGGGCGGACTGGGTCACACAATGCCCTTTCGATCCGTCCAGTCGATTGAATTGGTGGTCCAGCTCGTGTCTGCCGAGATGACCACTCACTCTTATTTTGAAGAAACCACACATACTTGTGTCCCGGAGTGGTTCCAAAGGTTTCCCTCCTGACGGTTAATTTCGTTTTCATTTAAAAAAATTCCACATATAATTATAACCAGTCCCAGTGCTCACATTGCCTTGTGCTTTCTCGAATTCTTTCAATTAGAAAAGCGATAACATCCTGCCTTACCTGGTCCTCCATGAGTAAAAGTTGTTTGAAAAGCGAAAAGAGTACGTCATATTCCATTTGGAATTTTAAAACCGTCTTTTCAAGGAATTGTGAGGCATAACCCGACTTGATGTTTTATATGTGTGTAGTAGAAGGTGAAAGATGAATTAGGACTATTAGTCAAACCGTGGGGCGTTGCTTGAAGCCTCGAGCCGTCCGACTGCAGTGGAACCTGGTCCCACTATCCCCTCTCGTCAACACCGATGCTATTTACGCTATTATTCCAGTGTATCCATGAGTAGACTGGCCTTCCACACATTCATGGTTGAAACGAGTTTTCAACAGCAACGCCATCTTTACCGGTGCCTGGACCCCTCGCTATGAGAAAAAAGAGGCTGACGAGAATGGTACTGGACAGATCTCGTGAAAGTAAACGGAATGACGCATGAGGCAGTCCTAATAAATATTTCAGATCTTTTATCCCGGCAACATGGATTTCCTTAAACCACTTAACTGGTCATCGCTCGCTAAGTGGATCGAACACTAACACGAATGGTACGGGGCTGAACTCATGAGAGCAATTTGAACAATACGCCATCTAAGGCAAATAAACTCCCACAAGATTGTTAGGATATCAAACGAAGTAGGGGCTACTGAAGTCATCGTCAAGATGACAAGAGATGCCACCGCTTACCGCTACATGGAACCAAATTTGCTTCAAGGTAACTCGCAATCCTTGTAAATCCACATGAAGTGTGACGATTGCACACTTAGGGCAAGGTAAATGCTAACGGCGTCATTACCCTGCCGCTGTCAAGAGCAATGATTGCATTGACACCGCTGGATGTGGTAGCAATTACCTACGGTTCCAACCTAACAGAGACCCTACCGTTATCAACGACGATCGACACCCCACACCGCAAAAAGTGCATTCGAAAAAAAGAACTGTTGGATAGATGAGCATTTAACAAAAGAGGAGTTACATTGGAGCAAGAATACGGAGGAAGAGAGAGGGTCACTCATAGCCGGCAACAGTTTCTGCAATCTGCCAGTTCACCTCCGCTTTCTGGTTGTCGCTCACACTCACGCCATCTTTAGTTACCACCGCGATTTTGTACATGTTAAAGGCACTAAAAAGTGAGCGGCAACAATAGAGGAAGAGCTCTATCGACTGCATCGATCAACCAGCTTTTTAGAAGTGCTAGACCCTATGGGACTCATACTTCACATTGAACAAGACCTGGATGGCAATGAGCAAGATTTTAATAGTTGGTGGATCCGAGTTGAAAAAGCACTGCATCTATTCGTGGTTAAGAAAGCATTGACTAGGAACAACAGCCTTCAACTTACGTCGTTAGAATATAACAAACACATTTGATACAGAGACATATCTGGGAGGAAAATCGACAACTACAGCAAAGGTATTTTAATGCTCTAACAAGACACAAGTAGTCATCAACTTTTGAAGGATGCACTTAATGACACCTTACAGAAGTGAAAGGAATCATCTTGTAAGTTGGCATAGGTAGCTTTGAGCCGATAGTTTAAACCCCATCTACTCCTTTGTTACACAAAAGTTAGTACTACATATAGGTGATGCTAGTGGGAGAAGCCCAAAAAACAAGCATACCGGCCATCGCGATAGAAGAGGACGGTCATGGTATCCTTGAGAGCCCCCAAGGCGTCATCATAAGTAAGGTTTGCAATGTTTGAATCTGCCTTGGTTTCAATCACTTTCCGAAGGAGGGAAAGCGCTAGGTACGAGCCGAAACCTGTGGCCACACAGTCCTCGGTGAAAGCTAGCAAAAAATGGTGGTGAGTGATCAGGAGAACATTCCCCACGATATAAGTGGTAATGATGAAAGTAGCTAACCTACCGACCCCAAGCATGTTGGTGCATCCAAGGTAGGGTGTACCATCTTTCTGGACGCCTCCGACAATGTAACTATTCCAGAGGGGATTAAACTGGCTTCGACGGTGGTACATCACCCGAGTAATCCATGAATGAAGCGCCTGAGGACTTTGAAAAGTAAACTTAACAAGGTGCTTTAGTACCTGGTAGTAAACCCGTCGCCAAGGAGGCTCTCAGTTAAAACTTGCCGGCTAATGTGCTTAACAAGGTATTGAAAGTCGGCAATATCACCAGAACATGCCAGAGCAGTGCATTCATTAACCTTTACAATCATATATCGGTCATAAATAATACTTTTAGGACGCGATCGAAGTTCGTGTACCGGGCCAAAGAACCGTAGGATACAAGAGTATCAGCAGCTATTATTACACCATCCTTGAATTTAATACCAATAACCGATGAGCCACTGCATGAAGGAGACAGTGTGTGGCTCCTTGCATCGGACATAAAACCAGCATGTGATAGGGAAGCTTCAACGCTCATAACCAAATTGAGAACGGGAAGGTGCAACAGAACCTAATCAAGTAATTTGAAAAAGGCAGTCATTGCACTACCAATTCAAACAAAAGGCTTGAAATCAAATAACTAGGACTGGTAGTTGTTTAAATGGAGCCGATTTAGATATCATAACCGTTTTCACCTTAAACAAAATTTTAAAAACTATTGAAGCCTATTTTTTTTAATCCGCGTTTTGGGTGCGCGTGTATGTACAAACGAAGAAATCCCAGCACTTGCACAAAACCATATCATCTGGTGAAGGCATTTTTTGACACCTCCACTTAGACAAGCCTTAACTTTTGCTGTGCAGTTAAAGTATGCTCTTTTAGTTTTACGTTTGACCATGTGAACTCTTCATTTTTCAAAGGTTCGGATTTCCTTTGACAGCATGGCTCCCCAAGTAGCCAATTGCCAGAGCTCTACCCCATTTAAACGGTTCATTTGTATTCACACGAAAGCCTTAGTACTCAGCAGTCAAATCACAAACTCTACGAGCGTTTTCTTTAAGTAATCACAGTAAAGTGCATTCATATATTTAATTGACTGCATACATAATAGAGACCAGTAAGAGCATAAAAACGGCACTTTACTAAAAGATTTAGAACTTCCTAAAAATTTGCAAATATTATAAGGTCACCAAAGGGAACAAGCGACGAGACCTACCTAAAAACATACATAGAATGGGAGCAGTATATGCGATAAATTTGTACAGGAGGGCTGAGTGTGTACTGGCAAGGCACAAAGGCCATGTCCGCGAGCGGATGTACAATGGCAAAGGCTTTATTGTTCGTGCGATATAAATGCATAGTTAAACAAATCAGCAAATTATTACAGGGGCTCTTACCTCTTTTGAGCATTGTCTCTGACTCTCCCCTTGGTCAGCATTCCGCCTCAGTCATCACACCGTAAGCAGAGCTGCAAGAAACATTCTTTTGATCAAACCGTGATAGACAATGCGTTTACATGGGTTTGACAATTTTAAGGAATCTATATATTTGACATCTTTGGGAACCTTATTGGAGAAGGATGAACATGTAGGCCAGCTTGGATGTTTGCCACTCGTAGTAAAACAATATGACATTAAAAGAGGGTCATGTAACAAAAGACGTTTTTGCATGGTTTTATATAAATAAGATCTCGCGCCTATTCTAGCTTTGAATTCCGCACTCACTTCGGTGTTAGCAAGCAACTTACGCATTTGTGTTCTCTACGACTTGTAGATAGGTGGGTGAGGTGTCAAATGTTTACTTAATTAGCATTATTTAGGCAGTACTATAGACAGCTTAGTAACATATTTCCCCAAACACTTAATTGCTATCAAAGTTCCTCTCATCAGTAGCATCTTTCCATCTCCCATCAAATTAAAGTTCCAAATGTAGCAATGGAACTAAACAGACATACCTTTTACGATTGACTTTACAGTCTGCTAGCTCCAGTGTAGTGGTCTGCAGCGTTCTAGAGGACGAAAGAAGGCAATGGAAGTTGCTGGCATAGCTTAGAGTTTGGACTACCCAGAGTAAGTACACAAGCAGAGTCCTGAACGTTTGCAAAACCAAGGCAAATAAATAAAAATGCAATTAATTTAATGCGCACAGGTTTTAGTTTCGTAGAGACATCCGCATATTTCCTGCGGTCGTAAAAACGCAAGACATTTGGTAATAACGGTTTATAAATTATATACACATAAAGCCACAGGTATGAGTAAAAAGGCCTTAGGAGGCGATATTTCAATCGGTAAATTTTGGATTACCTGTGTAGTCAGGCGCAGGACACCTAATAACAGATGTAAAATGCAATTTTGGAATTGCGAACACTATATAAATTTTACGACAAAATTGGTTGTGCTTTAAAATAATAATACCAAGTTGGAAGCATTAATTTTTTTATATTTCTAATAAGTTTGATTGAAGAAATAGGTAGTTCTTCAACGTACTCCTAACTATAATTTGCCTAAAATCTTTGAGTGCAGCAGAAAACCACAATTACGACTAGTGAACAACCACTGGTGTGAACAATGAACTTGAAATAGGTCAAATCCTTCCCCTTTCTCCCTTGACCTGTGTTTAAGTTGGTCTATGTAAATTGGCGCCAACATTGGACAATGTTTTGATTTGTTTTTCTGCGTTTATGCTGTGCGCGGCGCCACATGTTGTAGTTTCTCTCAATATCCCTAATGAGTTTTATTTATGGACAAGACGAACCAGATAAACCCGTATCCTTTATTTCGAATATTGGCTATTCTCAACCTCGACTATCAACTGTTAACGGTGGACCACATCAGGTATCGTTTTGAGAATGTTTCTCATCTTTGTCTCGCTACTTGTAGATTAAAATAGAAAACTACAGTAACGTCTACCAGCAAAATACTAAGCTTTCCTCCGAGGTTGCTTGTGCTCACTCTAACTTGCAGCCCCAATATTCTGACTTTTCGAAAGATGCCGATGGGCACCAGCCCAAGCAGGAGCCACCCCTGAAATTTGCCTCTGAACTTCTGGCGCCATCCATTCCTGTCTCCACTCAACCATCTCCCCTAATGCAAGGCTACATCCCAGAAATAAATTCCTGTATGCCCATGCTAATTCCCCCCACTGCTGCCAACAACAAGTCAGATTTCCTCAAAGCGGATGGCGTTGCTCCGCAGAAGAACGAATACTGCTTTGCGGATGGTTCGGTCTCACCGGGTCTTCCCCCTTCTCAACCTGCGGATCCACCTTTTCGCAAATATCAGTGTCTCGATACTACGGTCAATTTGGCCCAATCGGGACAGCCCTCAACGGATGCAAATCTAGCACCGCCACCGCCTCCTCCTCCGCAACAACAACAGCAAACACCTCCAGCGCCTCCTTCACAACCTCGAAGCGCCTTCGTGAGCCCTCCACGAACAAGTACCGTGAGTGAGGCTCTTTTTGTCCAAATCATCGTCTCGAGGTGCAAACGAATCGCTCCGCTCTGGTTCCGAGGTATCTCTTCTATGCGTGAGAGAAATCGCGAAGAGAATCGGCGAACCTCTACTAATTCCGGACAGACGCAGAACGATTGGAGCATTATTGGCGGGAAAATTCGCGTATGGTTGTGATTTACCGCTTGCCGGGGATATGCCTTTTGCTAGTATCGAGCACGATTAGGCATAAATGGCGAAAAATGGATAGCATTATACAATATTTAGTTGAGATACTTCAAAGCCCTTCCGCCGCTTGACTACTGATGCGTCGCTTGTTCTTTTTTTTCCTCGGAAGCCTCAAGCTTTCCGACCAACTCCACGCTTCGTTACGTCTCGATGCCTTTTGCAACTTGCACCACTTTTGTGATGCGGGAACATCTGTGGGTACGAAGTTCCCTGCCCCGCCTATATTCATGAGGACTTGGTGTCTGGTTATTAACAAATTGACTGGTTTTAGTTCCTCCAGCCTTTGTTCAACCTTTTTCGCGACATCTGTCGATATTTCTTGTGATGATTGTTCGGACTTCTCGGTCTTCTGGACCATTAAGTTGCGTAATTTAATTTTTGATTGATGTATGAAGTAGTCCCTTTTTGGTATCGACTTCATGGGCTACCTTTCTCCCAAGAGCTATAGACCTTACAGATATATTTCCAGCTTATCTAACGTTTACTGCCTTTTAATTTTTGCCTCGTGTGAATCCAATTAGTGATGAACTGTAGCTAAATTCTGTGTGAATTTCGCAAGGGAGAATGAGGTTTACGGAATTTAATCCGGTGGTCTTTCGTCTTTGGTTGTTTTCTTTACCGACTAGTAACTTGAATATGATGTGCGTTGCCTTATGATCAATTTGGGAATAAACGAAATGCTGCATTTCAGTGGGGTTGTATTGTTGCCATTGGTGTTTGTGTATTTGAAAGTGTGATCAACTGCAGTGGGAGGGGTAGTTGAAAAAGGTATAATCTAGCAATACCTGATGGCGTCGCATCAGTTGTATCCATACCTTCCAAATATACGATAATCCTAGCGCGTTTGGATGCTAAAACTATCTGTTTAGCTATACATAGATGCTCTTCTGAAATTGCTGGTACTTTTCCTTATCTAAAGGGAGCCATGCTTTTTTTCGATTTGGGTAGCCTTGCACTGTTATTCTGCCCCTTGGCATTGATGTGTTCATTCCTTCCCCTTACACTCTCGAGCTCATCATTTTGGAGGATAGCTTGAATCAGTAATGGGGGAAGATTGAGACTTGCCAATGCTCATTACTTTTTTCCTGTTTTTATGTGAGCAATCACTCTGGTTGTTCCTGTTTGGTTCTATTCGGTTAGACCGCATCACTGTCGACTGTACTCACTCTTCTGACTTATCTCATGTCCATCTTGTCCGGTCTTAAACTTTTGAATATGGTGTCTTTAATCTCTGGCCATTATAAGGGTCCATCTTGTTGAATAAATGTGGTTACCTCCCCGTAAAGTTCTAAATTTTTACTCTTTCAACACGTGGATTAACCAAACAGATCCTTTCTTCTGCCTGCCTTCCCTCCCCAAAATGAGCAACATCATAGCCCCGTTGATTTCATCAGTGTTGTCATATTTCTGTTCAAGGTAATTGAACGGTGTCTTGCTTGCATCCGTGCGAGAACAGTTTTAAGGTTTCTCTTGGTGTCGCTGTTACTGCTTTTGTAGGAGATGAATCAGATCATGGAGACGGACACGGTGGTGAATCTGTTGAAGAAACTACACAAGGAGCTGCCCGCAGATTCTGTGCTAAAGTTCATCAAGTGCTGGCTGGGCGATCCGGAGGCTCTCAACGATCCTGACTGCTGCGTCCTCAGCCGGCCCGACGCCAAGGGACGCATGCGTCGCATTGACGGTGGGAAGGGCTCCGATAAGGTACCTCCTTCCCTCCTTTTAACACCTTATTTTGCTTTTTCAGTGTCACAATGATTTAGTGCTGGCCGTTGGTGGATGGTGTCTTGTTTTTAAGTACTCAAAGAAACCATTGATTTAAAAAGGTTTAGTGGCCCCTGTTTTGGATCTTTTTTCTGTTTATTCACGTGTGCTTTTATTAATGTTATAAAAGTAAAGTAGGTGATCATGTTCAATTTGAAAGTACTTAAGAAAATCAACGATGGAATCCTTTCTCCTTTCGTTCTTTGTTGCTTTGCTTTGTTAGCAAGTGCGATCTGTGTGATATTAATCTGTTTTGGAAACTAATCCAATGTTTGGACCAAACTTTCATGGTGTTTTCGTTTCCTCTGGTGGTGCATTTCCCTCGTCGTTCTTTGTTATGTAAGAAAACATCAATGAATAGGCAACGTCGGGCGGTGAATTTCGCAGCACCTATGACTGCAAAGGTCCTAAACAGCTTCTTTTCAAAAGTACAGGAGGGCTGGAAGCATGAACCACGTTCCACCTGTGTGAGGGCTTAACGCAATCAACTGGGTTGTCGGCACAATTGTATTTACAACAAAATCCAATGCGTTGCCTTCATCAATGGCTTAGGATGAATATGTTTGTACCGAAGTGTTTTTCAAAAAGGAATTAGCTGAGGTTAAAGCAATAAATTACATGTAGTACGTTTCTGGCCTAGGGAAACTGGCATCAGATCCTGATTTTTGGGAGCACGACCTTTTTTCGTGAGCTGTGGTGGTGGTAGTGGTGGCAGTGGATTTTCTTTCTCTACGCTGGAGGGAATGTGTTGATAAATATTTTTGCTTATGAGTTCTGTCAACCTGGTTTGGTGTGAAGTAATTAGCCCCACTGCAATGTGATGTAGCCCTAGTTCCGGGTACTAGATGTGTTTTCCCCTAGTTCGGTGCGAAAACTTCCTTTCGATACGCATCTCAAATTAGCTGACAGCTTTGTCTGGTCGACGACTCATTCACACTGTCTGTTTCTTTTTTCCGTCGCCCGTCCGCCTGACTCCTTTTTTTAGTAACTTTTCGTTTCCCCTGCCTCTCTTGCTCCCGCATGCGTGCTTTTCATTTGCGGCACGTAAGCGCAGCCGCAATGTTGGAGGCAGGCGGTGGTGGTGGCGGAGATGACGATTACGCAAGAAATGGGTTTTCTTTGTGTGAGGCGTTAACCCACTACCTTTTCTTTTCTCCTCCCTCTCCCACCGACTCAGAGCCTCTTTGTTCTGAGGTGGTTTTTTTTTATTTATCGGTCCCTTGCTGGTGTTGAATAGCCATATTATCGGTATTCCTCATGCTCTTCAAAATAAAGTTTTAAGTTTTCGGTTCTTTTTTTGCTGATCTAAAAATCTATCTTTAGGAACTTCCTTTCCTCCATGGTAAGCTGTGTAATTGAAACCCAGAAGCTTTTTTTACTTTTTACGGTTTTTGATTTGCATTTCTCCCGAGTTTCCGTACATTTTTACTTCTGAAAAGCTGATATTGGGTCCTCCCTCCCTTGCGTCTCAAAGTTCCCTACTACCAACGGTTGAGGGGTCTGTGTTTCTGTTATATACGCCATCTTATTGGGATTGGGAAGCAATGCCCTTCTAATATTTCAGTCGTAAATTGAATGTAGAGTTTTTCGGCAATGTCCAGAGTTTTATGTTTGCAATCTTTGAAACCCACACCTTTTGCAGTCTGGTTTTGGCTATTCTCACAGATCTTAAGAGTCCCGTTTTTTCCACCTACCTGTCTAGCCTAGTTTGCATTGTCTAGGTCTAGAAGTGCTTCCCGTTTCCCCAGACCTTCAGTGGTATGTTCTGGAGGTTTTATATTGCCATGAATCATCAATGCGTCTCATTTCTTTGGTCTTTAATGTTATTCTTATGTGAAATTATTCAATAGACTAAATTCCTCAAGCGTAGAGCGCTGAATTAGCTGTTTTTTGTCTGGGACATAAGTTTTGTTATTTGCGATTTCTTCGTATTTTCGGTACGGTATTCTTCTTCACTGGATTCTGTTCTCTAAGGTTAGGCTTCTATCTCACTTTCGGGCCCTTTGGTCTCGATTTCCCCAAGATCCGTCTCCTCGGGAGTCTTGTGTTCAGACGGAGCATTTCTCCTATTTCTGCCATTAGGGTCTTGTTACAGGCCACAGTTTTCTGAGTTTTTCTGTTTGATTTTCCGGAGGTCTTGAGCTGAATACTTTCAGATCATCATTTCTGACAAGTCGATAAATAAGTTTGGAGAAGTTATTGCGTGCCTGCTCTTTTGTAGACCGAATGTTATGTTTTCACCCTTGGAACGAAATGTATGCTTTTGCCTTAGAAACGCATTTTTTTTTTTCGTCATTTCACCGTCGAGCTACTCCGCATCTTCATTTTCTGCGTCTTTGCTTAACTGTGCATTGTTTTGATGACCTTTTCTCTTCCTTAGCTATTTATAAACCGGGCTTTTGTCTCGGCGGTACATTGTGCTAATTTTTGCCCCTCTTAGAAGGTCTGACTCCTTTCATCCTAATTCAGTTGAAAGAAGCGCCAATCTTGGGGTTAGACTTGTACATTCTGTAAATGGAGTTTTTTTCTGCTGCTCACTCACCAATTCATTTTTATTTGCTAGCCGCTTATCCCAATTCGCCAGTTCCTTGGTCTAATTTCTTCAAACCTCTACTAAGGACAATTTGTTCTTTTTAACACTGTCTGAATCGTACGCGGTAGAAGATCATAAATCCCAATAATCTTTTTTTTTATTGCCGATTTCAATGATAAATACCCCCAAATCCGAGCCTCCACTTTAAGCCCCATCAAATAACCTATTGCAATCTGCAACTTTTCAGCCAAAAAACCTTTGATGTGCTAACTCTTTTAAGGTTTGTAACCTCCACCTACACTCGGTTTCCTTGATGCTGTGAGGCTGTATCATACTGACTTATTTGTTGAACAGATGGCAGCCAAGCTGCATTGAAGGGTCACTGTAGTAGCTAGGATGGGAGTTCATTTTGTCTCGCTTCTTAAAATTTCGTTTACCCTTTCTCCATATCTGTCTGGTTTTTCAGGTTTCTAAAATCTATTTAAGCGTGGTCAACTTTTGCCCTCCCACCGGCTCTTGTCTAGTCGTGCATTTATGTGTGCATTCGCCTTGCCTCCACGCCTCCGCATGTTTTTCACAACTCCAGCACAAACACTGACGGCGCACGACGAATGCGCGAGTTGTCTCCGCGTGGCATCTCTCTCCCCTTTCCACTCCTCATGACACCGTCAAATGTAGTACTGATTGAGCCGTTAGTAGTAGTAGTAGTCCGCACTCCTTCCACACTGCTTGCTTGCTTGCTTGCTTTTTTGATAAATAAAATTTGCCGATAAACTACCCCATACGTTTCCATGTGTTCCCATTTCCATGTGTTTGCACTTTTTTACCTGGAGTGGTTGATTTACCGCTCAGTCGGTGGTCAGTATATTCGAAATATCCCTCTTTATATGAATCGAATTCCTTTATATTTGAAAGGAGTCAGCTTTTGCTTACGTTTTCGTTTTAATTGTTCTTAATATATCTTTTCTTTTATTAATGTGCAGCTGCATCATCACTGCTATTTGAAAGGCATAATTCGCTTTATAACCGCTCGTCAGGGACGATTTTGTGGATTTTCTGTCACTTATTGGCGGCTTCCTTGATGGCGACGGCACATAGCAAGTAACCTAAAACATTAAAGAAGTCCTTGTCCGAAAGACGATTTTAATATTTAGGGTGGTTTAAAGAAATTATAGCGATGGGAAACGAATGCGTCCATCCCATTAGCATTGCGATTAGAAGTGGTTACTATTCCATCAACGTCTGTATGGTGCTAAAGTGTGGCTAGAGCTTTTGACCTTACATTAGAAATAACGGACTTCAAAGAGCGGAAATTGCACTTATTTTTCAACATGGTAACTCGCTGGTAGTGTCTTGTGCCCAGAAAGCACCTTCTATTAAGGCTTCATGGGCGCCAACCTTCCAAAATCACGAATTTTCGAGAGGGATTTCTCTCTTGTGTAATTTCGTCACACGACGGCACGGGTTCCATCAGGCGCTCCATGTACTGAACGAATATTAACAAGGATGGCTTTGACGCTGTGGGCGGTGAAATATTATGGCCACGATCATCACCGACGTGATGCACCCCATTTTTGAATCGTTTACACCTTTTAATCGTCCTACTACGGCTAAGTGCCCTATCACCGTACCGTGCTTAAGGTCTTCTGCACTTCATCACCGCATGCTTTCTCATACGTTCCATCTTCGTTGGCGGTGTTTGGCTCAACCGACGACATCTGGCCCGGTTCTTAGTAGTAGGACGCGATTGACACCCAGTACTTCGTTCAGTACCCCCAGTTTATGCGAATCGAGGAAATTTTAAAAAGTCACGGTCTTACTTGAGCGGTCCCGATTAAAGCGAATTGACGAGATTCAATAGCGAATTCGTCTCAAAGCCTAGCTATTCTACTCCACACAGCCTCTTTCAAGTTATCTGATCAATCAATTCCCCAGGAGTCTCCCACTCCTCTCCCCTCTTCCTGATTCTTCGATATTGACTGGCTAGACGTTGTTGAGATTGGTTTGCCGATATTATCACGCACTTATTGCTTGAATAAATGTACTGCATGCATTTGTCTTCGAGTAGGATTATACAGCCAGTGTTGGTGTACAATTGAATATTTCATGGCTAATTGCCTAGTAGATGGATACGTCCTTGAAGCCTTGGTCGACTTTCTGCTTTAACTCGCTGTAGGTGGCTTGCATAACGATGGAAGTTGAGCCGATCATGTGGTGGAAAGCTTGGTGGACTACAGTACTGTCATTTATCCAATAGGCGCATCAAGTTCTTAAATTAAATAGATGTTTCACGCTCTAGACGGAGACGGAAGAAGGTCGCTTTGTTGAGTATAGTCCAGTAATTCCTGAAAATGATCCTTATGTGCTGTATCTACAAGATTGATCCACATTCACAACAGGAAGCTACTCTGGCCATCGGATACGGTATAAGTAGCATTTTGGCATCACCCCGCGGTTCTTCGAAGTGGACACATCGAATCATCTACCATATTGACGGTTTCTACTGATTGTAATGACGGATTCATAGTACTTTTTTTTAACATTTGGTGTTTTCACTTTCCTGGTTTTAGGGAAGCCCACCCCCAAACTGATTTGCTTATCCTCTGAACCTGCTAAACAAATTCTACTGGCTGAATAAATAGGTGTCAATTTGCCTTCCTACATATTTATTTCCCCTTTTCAACAAAAACGTGAGATAGTTTATACTTATTCAAAATTTTCGGTATTACTTATATTATGACTCGTATGGATTCGATGATAATAACGGAGTGAGTGTCTTGAAGGTGAAATTTCCACGTTAATTCTCCTACCCGTGTTCACTCGGTTCAAGTACCTGTGAACATTTGCGTGTAGCTTTGGATTCATTGCAGAACCGCTATTGGCTTAATGGTTTTTGGAATTACCTGCTCAACTTCCTGATTTGGATTTTTCTCCTCTCATTTGACTTCGAATGAGGCTTAAGTAATTAGTTTTAGTTTGGATCTAACACCTTAATTCTATTGGTTTGAATCCTGGGTCAAGCATTTGGTGCACTATTTGGTTCAATTTTACAAGCCATCAGAGCTAATGCAGCAATGGAATTGGTCGAATGACCATTAAAATGATTCATGGCATCTAATTTTTCCAAGTTAAATATGCATTGATCATTCTCGCTACCTTAAATACCTAATGGATTTCGTTAGTACGTTTTCCAGGCTTGTCCAAGGGGTTTTGGAGGGTGCTTTACGCTGTGCGTATTTTGTAGGTGTGGAGGCTGGACACAATAGTGGGGATGCTGTACCACGGACTACCGATGTCGAGCACTGACACGAATATCATGGTGCACACTTGCAGCCAGGAGCTCTGTGTGCGGCCCCAGCACATCCGATTCCGTGCCAGCTCCGTCGCCCTCGTCATTGTCCTTAAGGCCCTTGCGCAGGCCGGCTACAGTATCATTCCACCACCACCTCGTTCTCTTCGTTCCGGTTTGCCCTCTCAACGTGAGTGTTGCCTTCTCTCCTCTGTCCTTTCTACTTATTTTTAGGGGGTCTATACCGGCTCTTCACGTCTTGCTTTCATGATTTGTCCCATCTGTGGGTTCGTGATGTTGTCAATAAACACCCCCAAGCAGTGTTTGATGCCTTCATGGTATGTGATTTAGATCTTGAAAATAAGCCAATCATCTTCCCAGCAGGTGTCGGTTCTGAGCTGACAACCCCAGGCATTGGGTGGTGTTAGACTATCATGTAAATATCCGTCTTGGACTGAGCGTAAACAAGCACCACGGAATGGGGTTGGCTCCGTATGATGAATTAACCTGAAGGAATAGCGCTGACTTTAAATTAATGCTGATCTTGTGTGGTCGGCAGATCTCTGCTTCTGCTTTTTGCCTACCATTTTAAGACACTACTACCGCCACTCCAGCCAATGTGCGACGATCCACGTGTAGAATGACCTAGAGAGTACAAAACGTAGAGAGCGGAAAGGGTTCTTACGATTTGGTCTTGGCTTTCAGATTATTTTCACGGTTCATCACATTTCTTCCTCTTCCCTTCTTAAAATGTTTGATCCTTGTTCAGCGAATCTTATTTTGAAGCTAGGGCGATTTCGAAGTTCGGGTGTCGTCTCACCTTGGGTCTCCAGTCTAAATTTTTCCTTACCTGGTTCCAAATTTCTCTGGAAGTCATTTTTATAACTCCACCTTTAAAATTTCCTAAATAAAGTTTACTGAAATTCTTGGGCTGTCATTAGAGCGGCTGCGGAGTCTACTTCTTGCCTCCATTTGGTTAAAGAGAAGGATGCCAAAGTTACTATTCTTCTAGCTAAAAGTCTATTTTCCCGCATTATAATGCTCTTTTAAAACAGTTCTTGTCTTCGTGATATCAAATTGTACATGTGTGGTAGGTCTTTGACTTTTCTGTGTTTGCTTTTTCTGTAAATTAATTGAGCAGCTCTCGATCCGGACCCGGATTATTTTTCACTCCTCCTCTGTGTTTCATCGTATCACCTTTGGAGGAGCCGTGTCATGCAACCAGGGTGAAATCGCTTGAATGGTTTCTCATTTACCACAGATGACCACAAAAATCACTTTTTCTGTTTTTGTCTGGGGAAAAGCTTGTATGAATTTCGACTATCGCGTTTTTTTTTTTGCCTGTAGCCATATCCTCCCGCCTGCTGTTATGTCTTGACAATGATCTCACTTGTCCTAAACTACGTTTCCAACTCTGGTTCAGCCCCAATATTTCATAAATAACAGTGAGCGATCTCTCCTCCACGCAGAAGCTGCAACGAATTCGACTATAGCTTTCCTTAAGTAGCTTGACTTGGTGACCCATGTTCCTTCAGTCGCAGGCCATCTTGTATTCCGGCATTTCTGCTCGCTTCTCAGCGTAAGTTTGCCGCATCAGGATCTGAAGGACTCCTTTCTCCCCCAATTACTTGGTTTGAATTCAAGAATCGGTAACCAGAAGATCGTTCAATTGAATGACGATGGTTCAATTCCTTTACATCGGCGTCTACGACTACATCAATTACTAGCGTTCCTTTGAGAATTAGCTCCTCTTCTTCTTCCACTTGTGATGGTTTCTGTTTGCTGAGGGTCTCTGTCGAGTGAAAGTGGATGGTGGTTACGATAAGAGCTGCTACAGCGGCAATACCAGCACCAATAGCGCTTGAGTCCATTACCACTGCTGAAATCGCAATCCGTTGGTCTCTGCTTTGCACACTCTAGTTCACACACAGCACACAAGCGCACACGCGGTGGTGACGGATAATCAAATTACCAGCTTCATGGAGAGATTGGTTTCTTTCCGCCTCCACCGCCACCACTACCACTACTCTGTTGTGCTGCCTGTGTGCTGCGCACAAATGCACGATTGCGCGCGCGTGTGTTTCATCATCATCATCATCACCACCACCAACACCAGCAACAACATCATCTCTACCAGCACCACAACCAACAGTACTATCAACAGCAGTAGTCGTGCTTGTTTACCCGACAGTAAACCCCCCTTCGTATGTTCCGTGTGCATGTATGTTCACGTTCAGCGCATTGTGGATGCATGTGTTTGTTTGTGGTTCATTTCTATTTGAATCCTCTCCCACCCCCTCCCTCCCTCTCTCTCCCCCAACCCCCCATGTTCCCTGTAGCTGACAGGCTTTTATTGGCTGAGAGAGTTGTTGATTTTCTCACCCTTTTTGAGGGAGTGATCAATTTCCGGATTGTTTACCCTTGCCTCGGGACCAAATCGTCGTATAAAACAGATTTTTAAAGTTTGCATTTTTAATTCCTTAGTGTCCTTGTGCCCCTCCAGTATTTGTGCATTGTCTTCCCAGTTTCTCGCGCAGTATAGAGGTATCAGAGCCTGCGGTGGTGCTTCTCTTTTACTCTTTTTTTTTGGAAAGACGTTCAAACTGCTAAACAATCATCGTGAAGATACCTGCTTGAAGGCTAAACTCGTTTGTTTGAGGTGATTTAGAGAGGGAGCCACTTTTGGTTCATTGCTATTCTCTCACCTCGTGATAACGATAACAATTTCACCGCTATCTTGTATAATCTCTCTGTACGAGTTTCATTCCCGGCGCAGAACAACTGAAGGATGAAATTCCGTGGAGTGAGGGAGGATTTTGTGGTTTTTACAATTTTTTGGAAAAGGTTCTTAACAGCTGGGTGATTCGTCTCTGTCTTCCAATCATAGAAATATTCCCTATCAAGTAACACATGTTGCTTCAGTATTTGTTCGTTGCTGCGGCCAAGGCACTGTAAGGAGGCTATTCGCTCAATCCGGGTTTCGCTCTGTAGCTGGCCATGCTTTAGACCGATTCAAAGAGTCAATTTTGCTTTTTTGATTCCTCACTTTTCGGTCAATGCTATTTTTGGCGCATTTTGAGATCATCTTCCCTTGAAGTCCAGATAAGGAGGTGGATGCTGCCTATCGTGCTTTTATCGCTTAAAAGCATACTTTTCTCACCGTATTTCGATATGAGGAGATGCTGGATTCCCGGGTTCCACTGTTTGTTAACTTTTTTTCTATCTATATGCTGCTAGTACATTTCATAGTTAAATCCAGGCCCCACCCCGTTACCGGATTGCTTTGAACGCAGTAGTTACCTAACTCCAACGCAATTTTCTCAGTACTTCCCTCACAGCTCTCCATATCACTTTTGTGCCTAGGTTGCCGCCTATGCAACTTTCTATGGCGTGGAAGCGGTGAAAATGTGCCAGGTATACCCCACTATGTAGAAATGTTTTCAGTTCATTTCGATAGGGAGATCTGTTAGATCTAGATATTCCATTTCGCTGGAATACCACGTACATTCCGTCACGGATTCCAGTTTGAACCCACGTTGAAGGTCGACTTATTTTACTTCATCCTCCTGATGTGAGTCACCACACTCTCCTTTATTCATTGGGCAGTTGATACACTTTGAGTTCAGCTTCCACGAAAGCAACAGTGATAGCGGCCATTAGGAGGGTCCTATGTCTAGCCCATCACATTTTCATTACTCAGAAGTCCCGTTTCCTCCAGCTTATGCAACACGGAGTGATGACCGATTCTTAGGTTTTGTTTGCTTCTGGAAGTACAACGCAAACAGGTTCCTTAGTCTGGGTCTCGCTCGGTTGGTCCGATTTGCTTACTTCCTTGGTTGTCAGTCCCAACCTAACTTGAAGGAGACCTTCTGTTGAAGTGGCTACGCTTCATATAGACTACTAAGGTCAGCTACAAGACGTTTATTTAAGTGGTACGGCAGGGCTGGCTTTGAAGGATTGCGAAACACAGACGAAATTATTAGAGCTAAGTGATGGCGGTGTTGGTGTCGATAGTGTTGGCATTATGTTCAATTAGAGCCAACGCCAACACGCAACAACACCATACCTTTTATGAGCCCCAGTAGTTCCTGTTCCCAAGGTTACTTCGATGTGATTGGCCATTAAAAAAATTAGTAATGTTTTTTTTTCGCGTCCAATGTACCTTGTTTCAATTACACCCAAGAGCCAATATGCGTCAAAATTATTGCCAATGCTATCATTAATTTGCGAGTTTTGTGAATTATCAAGTTATTTTCCAAATGGACCTTCTTATTTGGCGTTCTGAGTTGATTTTCGTAGATATACCTCCTTCGTTTTATGATACGTCGACTTAAAGACGTTGTTGCTCATCTTGATTGCAATATGATATTCCCTAAATGGACAACTCATCCCTGAAGCGTCTAGAATTTAGCTTTTTTATTCATTTTGTTTATTGAGACGTTTTTTTAAAATGTATAACTCGGATATAACGAAAGAGATTGCGTATTATGGGTGTGTGTACACATCGGGAATTTGTGATGTGCTGTGCTAGGAATAATAATGCGAATGAAGCCGCTGTCAATCATGCTTTAGCCTTTGTTTTTTCGTTCTGCTTTTTCCCCAAATCCTATCATCAATAAGCCCATTTTCTACACAATCCTCATTCTAGTGTCACTGTTCAAGTCTTTCTACGTCATTTCGTTAAAAGAAATGGTACTATTCACCTTTGCCAATCATATTCAATGTCATGGTGAAAGTACAATCATGAGTGCCAGTTTCGTTACATTTGTCGATGTAAATGTCGTGGCATAATCTGCAGTCGGGTACTTTCCATGAGGCTGTGATGGCTTTTTCCATTCCTCTGCATCCCCACCAGACTGTACCCAGTGAATGTCTCCCGCAGCCTTGTAGGTAGATAGCTTTCAATTCACTGGATGGCTCAAGTTAGTTAATTGCCATGCATGCCACCACCCGGCATAAGGGGTACTGTTTCAGACGGTGGTTAGGAGGCTGAAACTATGTAACTATGAAACTATGTAAGCCTCCAGGACATAATGTCACCATTTGTGCCTCCCCTTCACGTTCATTTGTTTTTCATCATCCTCTGTTGTAGTGCTAGCCTACATAAAGTTGTTGTACGCGGCGATTGAACAGTAGCATCAACTTCCGGCCCACTTCATAATTACCCTTTATCCCGGTCTTGGATCACTCCTCTCACGTGGCTCATTTTCAAGATTTAAATTGTCTGTCGGAGTGGAGCTTTTCAAGTTCTTTTATATTTCATGTGTGCTTTTGTTGACCACACCCAGGTCAGTCGAGCACATTTCTCTCTCTCTAAAGGTAGTCGGTCTCAGCTCAGATCTCCCATGCAGTATTTTCAGGATGGGAAATTAGCACGTAAACATCTTGTTAGTCTCTTTTAAAACAGATCATGAATTTAGGAAAAGGGCTTGTTGCTCTTCCTTTTTCGTGAAAAAAAGCGTTACACGTAATTAGAATTGGAATCTCATCCTCATTAAGGCAACAAATGCTTTTATTTAATCGGAAGGAAAAATGATAATCATGTTTCGTGCCCTTAGCTTTCTATGGCTTCGGTCCAGCCTTTTTATTAGCTCGAGTTACTTATAACGTAAATCAGTAGTGTCTGCTTCAGTCACTTTTAAGATAGTAAAATCGGCCTTACTTGATCTTCGTTTCATCCACTTATTCTTTTTTTCTGCACCTTTTTCCTTTCAGCCTCTGACGAGTCAGTGGACGTCTTTGGCCCCTTCACCATTGAAGAGCTTCAGCAATATCGCAGCGGTATGTCCACTTAGCCTTTCCCTCTTCATGATAACATTACTAGCACCACCACCGCTACTACTGCATCTGAGGCTTTAGAAGCGGTAGCGAAATCGGCCCCCTTCGTGCCTCGATTTGTGGGGCATATTGGGGGGGTGGGGGAGAACAAGGGTGGTATCGCAGACGATCTGAATCGATAGAAGTCTACTGCCTGTTCCCTCCCCCCCCCCTCCACCGCCCCACACCATCCCACTCACCCTCATCTCACTCAACACACCCTTTCGTAATCACCAGCAGCAGCGACGGCAGTATCGCACGTGCGCGTGCCCATTTTTTTCTCTTTTTAATGTGCGCATTTCGCGCGTCCACCCTGCCCGCTCGACTGCTTGCCCGCCTAACTCGTGTCTTTGATCTGCATGCCGTCGAGTAGTCGCCTGCTTCGCTTTCTGTGATCTCTCCCTCTCTGTGGGTGCGAATGGGCGAGCAGGCGAGGGCATTGACTGACACATCGATCCTCTCTGATCCTCAACTTCTCAAAAGGGCGACTTTCTGGGGATCTCAGTTGCTCGATTATTACCCTCCCCATGCCTTTCATCGGAAGTTGACGTGCATGTGCACCTTAATTACTTGTGCGATTATCACAGGGTAAATCAAATGGCCTCCTAAATGGGCAATATACTGTCTGCTATCCTCTCAGTGCTACTGTTGGGAATTGGTCAATTTTAGCCGTCTCTTTAATATTCATCGCTTAAGATAGTCAAAAATGACTAGTGCGATTGATAATAGGCGCTTGACTTCGCGAAATAGGCGTTTTCGAGTCTTTGAACGCGTCGCCTATGCTAGTGTTAATCGTCTTTGATTAAAAGAGTCTAGTCTCACACAAATTGAATAACTCTTCTGATGTTCTTTGCGCTCCCTCCCTTGTTCCAGTCTTGCCTTGAAAAATCGACAGGTTTCTTTTGAGTCTCAAAATCCCACTGAAATTGGCACTCTCGATTAATAGGGTTTTGTAATTATTCCACCATCAGCCTTGCATTTGGGCGTTTCGATGAACGTCCAGCGAAGTCTATTTGGTAGACTTCTAGACTCAGGAAAGCAGGTGAATTGACATTCTGTTCTCTGAAACCATTCTCTACTTGCGACGTAGAGGAGCCGTTTCAGGCGTTTTAAAGAAAATCCCGCTCTCTGTGCTCTTAACTGATTTAATGCAAAGAGACAGCATTTTAGTTGAATACTCACTGGTACTGTCTATGTAAACGAGGATCTTATTATGAAACCATCGGTTTGTGTTGTTCCACGCCACTAACAGCGATGATGTGGAAGTTGTTTACCTACACATCGAAGGATAAGTGCGTTGCCTTCTTCGGTCCACCATTCTCGGCCTGGCTTTGACCTCAAAAAGGAATTCAGTTGGGCGGGCATCGCGGCTGGTTAGCCGAAACAGTGGCGTGTACAATTACAGAAACTCGTCAAAACATCAACCCTCACTACCGACACCTTACCATAACACCCAAAAATCCCTATGGCGTTGACGTCCCCGTTCCTGGATGCGGTGATGGCAGTAAAAGGCTCCCCATAATCATGTCTGTGTGTGTATAGCGATTCTGTTGACGCAGCGGCCATGGAGGCAAGCACACAAGAACCCTTTGAGGGTCTGACATTTTCGCGCCATGTGGAATCCTAAAGTTACCGCTCTCCACTGCCTTCCATCCCAATCAAAGAACTTTCTTCGCGCGCATCCATTGGTAGATGTATGAACTGCTCCTCATCACTTCCACTTCAGGGAACTTCATCTAGTTCTGCTTTTTGTCATTCACATATTTGAGGCATCGCTTACCGTACTTTAAGACTGCCATTCCCACTCTAGTCTTCCTCCTCCACTATAACGCGGTTCCACACCTGTCCGAGAGGATAAATGATAACAAGGACAGGTGTGCACGCGACACAGACTGTTTCAACGTTCTGAACAGTTCACAGTTATCCACGTGGGTTAGCCATCTTGATGCTGATTCTCGACCCGTCTACATTTAGCCAATTACCCACTGCCTCCGTCATTGTCTACCCGCCTTCCATCCATCTTACTCCACTAGATGTATGGAGACACGTTTCCACATTGCTTCACCTTCCTGAGTTGCCTTTTTGGCCTCAGTCAGCATTCCGTCATCTCGACGGCGGTCTCCCAACCACCACCCATCAACAACACACACTTCAACTCACCATCAAGCCAACTGCTTGTGTGGACTTCTGCGTAAGCCTTCACACGTATTCCAAAATCGCCCACATTGTCTGCATCCGAAAACACTCCTTCTGCAGTTGGGAATACGCCTTCCGTCCTATCCACATTTCAATTTTCCAGAAACAGTTCATCCACATTTCACCATGCAATGCCACATGACTGTAGGTAGCGAGGGCGTGGTGGGTCGGCGGACGAATGAATAAACGGACAAAACGGAATGCGTGAAATGCGATGAAATGCAACGATTGACGTGGGAAGTGAATAGAGACAGAGGTGAGAGCTGTTTGCCTCGCAATCCCATTTCGCCACTACTCATGCTGCAGTAGGCATTCAAGTAGTTGTGCCACTTTTCGCTGAGCATTCAATAGGTGGTCAAACCCACTCCCTTTTGCGATGCACCGCCACCACCACCACCACCACGTAGTGTTGTTGTAGCCAAGTGTGATTTGAGGCAGGTACTCTCGTAAATAATTCGCATGTGCACATCCAATCTCGGTGGCTAACAAATACACACACAAACACACGCACACACACACAGCCAGCACCTCGCTTGCGATGCACTTCATCAACTCCAAGCGTTCTCTTGCCAACACCTTTCCATGTCTCCCACTCGTCTCGCCGTGTCATTTGAGGCAGCGGACAAAGTGGTGTGTGAGGCGCGAGAGTGGCGGATGGTAGGAGTTGTCCAGGTGTTCGAACCACCAGGGCCTAACCTCCACCTGGCTTTCCTTCTTCATCATCCTCCCTACGTAGTCGTTACCCGTTGTTGTTGTTGTTGTTGTTGTTGTTATTGCTGTCAGTGGTGGTGGTGGTGGAGTGCCAATTTCACACATTGTCTTACGATTAAAGGGCAAAAGGCTTTGACGGCGTGCCAATGTCTCCGTGAGCAGCAACAGCATCAATAGTGGTGGTGGTGGTGGTGGTAGCTGCCAAAGTGCCGAATGAACCACAAAGTGCAGTGTGAAGAAGAGTGTGCCTTTGTGGTGCCTCTTTTGTTTTCCCACCAAGCCCACAGGCACGCACTCACAAAGACGTATACATCCACACACGCAGGCTTCTGAGTCATCCATCACACGCAAAATAAGACATCTTCGCCGCCCCCCTCTTCTCTTGGCTTTGAAAAGTGTCAAGACAGTGCGGGGGCGTCTTTTCAACCATTGGTCTCCACCTTCTCTCCTTGAGTGTCCATTTCCAAGGTTCTAGTAGCGCCCTGACTTCACTCTTTAAACTTCCTACTCGGTAGTTAGAAATGTCCGCTTAAGTGAATTTGTCTACCCATTGACTTTGGCAGATAACTCTTAGGTCCACTGTCTTGCGCCTCGACAATCTGCGATTCTACACTTACAGGCTGGACGTAAATTGAATGAAATCCAGGTTTTAGTGCAGGGACAATGGCGACCCGCACTAGATTTTATTTCAACTTGGTTGAATCGTCCTTTCTTGTTCTACCTGTTCGTCACTCTATAGTTGACTTATGTTTGCCGAAATTTAGCCGACGTGATCCATTTGAAAAAGAAATCTGTCCTATTTTATTAATGACGCCATTCTTGGAGTCATCAGTTCCAGTTAATTGAGCCTTCATCACCTAAATGTTTTGTCTTTTTTAACGTTCGGACTCATTATGGTTTGTATCATTCCCTCAAGTTTTTGAAGTTTTTTTTACAACAGCCTTGAGCCATCCACTTTTAGGCATCCTCCACATTCGAAAATCCCAAATTTCCTCTTGAGTTTCCTTTTCCACCTCTCGGCTGTCACCCTTGAGGAAGCATAGGTGTCCATTCCATTGACTATCGTTACCGTGTCCCCGTGCTTACTTTTTCACCCTTTGACACCTACGTCCTGAGCAAGCGTCCAAGTGCCGAAGTGGTGATTAAACGGGTTTTGTCAACACGACCGTTGTTAGTATTGGCAAACTCGTGATACGCTCGTCCAGACTTTCTCTTTATGACGCACCTTTGTGGGCGGGAGGGCGGTATAGTTAGCAAAGGGGAGGGATTATGGTGGTGAGTCAACCGCACAGGGTGGGGGAGGGAAAAAAACACTCTTCTTTAGGGCCACGTGACACGTGGTCACGCACCCCAGACCAAAGGCATCGCAGGCTACCGCGGTGCTACAGGGGTCCTCTATGAATCACCGGGATGAGATGCGACTGTGAGTCACTTCGGCAGCGTAGCCACCAATGCATGTGCAAATATGTTTTGTTTAGTCTAACTTATCCCCCACCGCATGCCTTCCTTTGCCCCATTACAGAGAACCTGACGCCAGCGGGCGAGTCCGTCAGTCGAGTGCCGCTAAATGCCTCGGACAGGGATCTGGCCGACAGTCTGCCTCTGATCAGGGACATCCTCAACCGCAATGAACTCCCCAAAACCTCCTCTACTGGTGTTCCACCATCACATTCGGCGCCTCCCTCCACTCCTGCCCAACCCGCCTCGGAAGGCGGCTCGCAACCGGTGATTTCATTTTCTTACTTCACTGCTCTGATTCATGTGTTCAACCTCGCCTATTTTGTAGTCCAGATGGTAGAACCAGCAGTACCGGTTACCGTTGTTCTAGATGAGTGGGGAAAAATTCCTGTCATTGGCCTTAGTGCTACTGATTGGCAAGCCTCTTTTTGAGTAGCATTTATCTCTGACCTAGTCTTGGTTTATTATTATATTTAAAAGAAACTTTCGTAGATATTTTCTTCGCTGTCTCTCTTGTGATGAGAATGAAGATGGAGAGGTAAACAAACGTTGGAATTATTTATTAATCATTTAGAAGAATCGAATCATTTCCTAATTAAACTCTTTGATGCATGAACTGCTAAGCGATAGTCTGTGTAATTTCCAGTGCATGCCAAAATTGACCTTGAGGCAACCTTGAAGTCTCCTATGAATCAGTTTACTTGAAGTTTTCTGGCATCTACTTTTTGTCCTATCATAAAAAGGAGTCCTTTCCCCAAAAATAACACAATTCCCAAAAGTCACCCTTCCCTTGGAACATGATTGGGTCTTATACGCCTACCAATGGGAAGCCACCGCAGAAGTGGCATTATTATTGGCGCCCAGTGGGACGTAGTTAATATCACGTGCGGCTGATAATGTTACCATACCTACACCCACACACGCACACGCTGTCGGAACCATTTTTACTGGCCCTTCCAACGGCGTTGGTGTTGGTGACTAATTCACCAAAGGGACGGGTGACTAATGAGACACCCGTCTGCCCTCTTCCGTGTCCGCAATTTTGGTCTGTTAGACGCGTCTACCCCCTCTTGGGTGGACTGTCGACTTGTGTCATCCACCGGAGCCCAGCTATACGCCATAGCTTAGACTTAACACAATACCTTTCACACATCTTGAACGAGTATTCCATGAATAGTTAAAGGCAGAAATTGGTTTTTAGCATTCGCAGATGGTTGAAATGCACCGAAGTGAAACAGCTAGGTGATGGGAGATGTTGATAAAATTATCAAAGACCTAACGTGATTGGTGCGGTGGCTTAAAGCGTAAACCCACGTGAATAAAATGGCCACCCAGTGCTGCATTGGTGGTATATGGTGGCTGTTTGTGTCGGTCTTTTGTATTCATGATACGTGAATGGGAAACCACAACTTACTGTTGTTACGAATAGTTACCTTTGTGAGCGTCACGAACTTTCTCATCTGTGAGGGGTTTTTTGGTTTCCGAATCCACGTTTTTTTAAATAATCAGCAGTTATGCTTTCGGTCCTCTCGTCCTGCCTTTTCCACTACGATTTTGTGGTCATTTTTATTTACAAGAGAATAATAATAATTAGTTAGTAGCTTGTTTAGTTACGAAGATTGTTTGAGCGAAGTTGCTGCTTTTTAGGCTACGAGCGAATGATAGTTGTACCTTTTGAGTGGAAGTGGTTCGTCCAGTAATCCCCATGACCTTCAGCTTGACCGATAGTGGTGGGATCGGTCTCCAAGTCTGGCGAATAGACCATTCTGCGTGCAGTGCCTCTCATTTTGTTTAGTACTTTGGGCGTGCACGTCTTCTTTTTTTTTGTTTGAGCGTAATCTTGTGTGCTTGTATCTCAATTGATTAAGCGCTGCGTACGAGGGCACCCGAGCACAGTCAGCATACGTGCATCGTGTAACAGATCTACTTTTGCAGGCAGCCACAAAATGTACACATACTTTTGGCTGTGTCTTGATCATCGTCACTAACTGCGGTGTGTGTTGTGCTTTTCCGCATCGGAATTAACTGTTGATGTTTTTTTTTTTCATTTTCACTTTTGATGCTTTTAACCGTCCTCCAAGTCCATTGGTTGAGTCACCAAAATATGATTGGTTGGTTTACAACCAATAAGGTGGAAACGGCGAACAGGGACTGTGGGTCGTTGATCTAACGGAATTTTGCAAGTGAATGTAATGCTTATACTAAGTGTCGCATACATCTGACTCCTTCTTATATGATACCGTCATTATTAATGTGTGCTATACCTTTTCATTAGATTGTGGCAACAGATCAGCATACTTTAAAGCTATAATCTGCAGGTGATTTTTTTTTTTTAAATTTCGGAGCAGTGTTTGAATTTGCTAATTCCGTAGTGCAATTGGTGGTATCACATTACCGCACTAAGAAATCTGACCTGTGATGACTGGTTTTCCTTTGAAGGCTCTGCTAGTGAGTCACACCTTTCAGATGACTTGATGGTTGGCACAAAGGCGATGACTCGATTCTGATTGTTTCACTTTTTCACGAATCGGAATAATGTATCTTGAAGACATCTTGGATAGATTTGAGCAGTATTGGTCTAGCATTGCTGAATAATCGGGAATATGTAAATGAACTTGGAGTTGTTTTGCATGGACTGGTGAATAGCTCAACGTTGATTGGCTATCTAAATAAGGACAACCTATTGACGAATCGAAATGTCTTAGACCTTGGCTATTTGCAACTTGAAGGCCTCTGAAAACTTCTAAAATGTCAAAAAAGTTTCAAACACGCTACAACTTGATCAAAGAACAGCAAATTCAGTGCGAGCTGTGTTGATTGTATCAATTCTATGCAGTGGTTAGTTGAATGCAAAAAGCATTCACTTCAACAAAGCAATTTTGAATGCGTTTACCTGAAATAATATCTGCGCTTCTTCAAAAGATCCATTGAGTCGGTTGACTATAAGACTGTAAATAACTAATCTTTACAAGCAAGGGCTGCCTCGGTGGTAAAGGGTGATCACGATTTATCGCTAAACCTATGCTCGTAAAGATGTCGATCGAGATAGAGCTCTGTAGGAAAATGTCTTGAAATTGCGGAACAAAATTTGTAGAAGATGGCTACACATGGCGAATTTAACATAAATAAAACCATCAGTTAATAATTTCAGGCGATTTTATTACGATGCTTGATTTCATGTCTCCGAGAGCTCACTACAATTGGAAAAACTTGAATTGTTGATTAGGTAAGTGGAACTGTAAAGATTTTCATTTCGCTTAATGGGTATCTAAGATGAAAGAAGTGCAGTTAGAAGTTAGTGCCCTTTATCCTTACGAGTATTTCATCCCATCCATCCAAGACGGTGAGAACGTCCACGAAGGGGTTTTGACAGTTGAGTTTGTGAAGATGGTTAACAAATGTGGTGAGAGTGCTTTTAATAGGGTCAATTCATGTGCGGGGCAGACAATGAAGTTGTTTTTAGTGTGGTTCAAATAAATCGAGGCAAAATCCAGTGCGAG